GATTGGGGCGTGGGATGCTGCAGAGAGGGTTGCGCTGACGAGGAGAAGGATGAGGATAAGGAGGAGAACCAGGGGCAACGTTAGCCAATCGGCCATCCATCGTCGATCGGAGCCCAACGGCCGGCCCCGCCCAGGAATGTGCGGATTCGCCATCGGATGCCTATCGCCGATCTATCGGCAATATATCACCGATCTCAGCTCGCTGCTTCCACCCCAAACGACTTCCCCAGGAAGGCAGAGGAAGAGGAGGATGCGAAGGAGAAGGCATAAGGGGAGAAGAGGACGATGAGGAGCACTAGGAGGATGGCGACGAGAAGGGGGACAGAACGGCGATGCGGAGGAGGAGGAGGCGGAGGAGGAGGAGGAGAATGAGGAGGAGGAGGGGAGAGAGAAAGAGGAGGAGAGAGAAAACGGAGGAGAGAGAAAGAGGAGGAAGAGACGGAGGAGGAGGAGGAGGAGGAGGAGGAAGAGGAGGAGGAGGAGGAGGAGGAGGAGGAGAGAGAGAAAGATGAGAAGCGAGGAGGACGAAGAGGAGAAAAAGAAAGAGGAGACGCAGTTGAGAATGGTGCAGAGGCAAAACGGGGGAGGAATCACGAGAAGGACGAGGGGGGAGCTGGGATAATTTGGACGAGGAGGCCTGAGAAGGGATTGTCCCAGGGCGCAGAACTGGCTGTTGAATGGTTCCGATTTGCACGCGTGCATCTACTTTTCATTCAGAGCCGAACAAGGACTTGTGCGAGCAAGGGAAGATTGGAGGTAAGTTCAAGAGGTCAGTAGCTGCTCAGCAACCAGAAGCTAGCGCGGCAGATGCTGCCAGACCCAATATTTTACAGGCAGGGCTTTGTGGGAGGTAGAAGCAAAAAGAGTTATTTGTGGACACCCTTACCGGCACGACAGTATTTGCATTGACTTGCTCACAAGAGCATGGGATGCAGTGATTCCGCTTCCCCGGGTACGCCGCGTGATTCGAATATCCAGTGGTCTTCGGCCAAGGCCGCCACCGTGCCTGGGCTCTGGACCAGAGGCCTCTTACTTGGGTGGGGTCCCTTGGGTCCCCTCTCGGAGGCCTGTTTGAGCCCTCTCGGGGGTCTCTTGGGGGCCTCTTGGGGACATCCGTGTGCCTCTTGAGGTGCTATTGAAGCCTATCGTGGGCCTCTTTGGGGCGTCCTGGCGATCTCCGAGGCCACCTTGGAGTGGGAGGCTCGAAATGTCAGTTCGAGTTCTCCCTCTCGGGCCCCTCTTTCGGCCATCTTGGGGGCCTCTTGGGCCCTCTTGGGTGCAGGGCCTATTGGTCCGTCTTATACCCCTTTTGAGAAAGACCGAAGTCGCTTACATCATGTAATGGGCTTCTCAACAAGTTTGGCCTCTCAGGCCGGCTCCCAGGACCGCCAAGACAGCCCACGATGCGCCCAAGAAGGCCCCAGGGCGAGCCCAGAGACCATGTCAGGCCATGGTGGGCCTGGGAATCCCAACCACGCGCCAGGGGCTCTCTTGGGAAATGCATGCGATGGGCCCAAAACCCGAAATCACACAGGAAGCCCCAGGAAATCCGTCACTGGGGCATGCGGGCCCCTGCATTAGTATTACAACTTTCGGAAGTGAACAGCCTGGGTGTAAGAGGTGGAAGGGGGGGACAGGGAACAAGGGACAGTGGCGGCGTTGATGCGAGGCCGAATGTTTATAGTAGTCTTCGGCCTAGCACGCCACTGAACCTGGGTTGTGTTCCAGAGGACTTCGGGAGCTCTTCGGGGGAGCTTCTTGGAAGGGCTTCTGGGGACCTCTGGCCTACTTGGGTGCGCCTTGGGGGCCTCTTGGAGGTCTTGGGATAATGGTGGAAGGGGATAATGGTGGAAGGGATATGCCGCGTTCTTGGGGCTCCCCCTGAGGCGTTTCAAAGACCTCATGGGCCTCTCTTGGCGGCCTCATCGGCCATCTAAGGCTGGTCTGGGGAGGTTTCTTGGACCGCCTTTGACGTTCTTGCGACCGATGCGGCGACAATGTCAATGTCGCGCAATGTTTCAGAGATTCCACAGGTTTGGGTTTCCGGGGCTAGCCAATACGCCCCGCGGAATTTCCAAGAGCATCCAAGTTAGAAGGGGTTGCCCCGAGAGGGATCTTGTTAGATTCATGAGGCGGCCCAAGGATTGCCAGACTGGCCCCAAATCGCACGAGCTAATCCAAGGAGTGGAAGGGCGGTGGGGGGGAACGGGGGCTCGCCCCCCCCCCACACCGCCTTTCCTCTTGGCCCCCACCTCCCCCGAAGGGATCAAAGGGAGGGGGCTTCCTTCGACTCGAATGCGACCTGCGTCGACTCATCTCGGGTTGGCGGCCAGCGAGCTTGGAGAGGCCGGCCGCACGGAGAGGGGATGAGGGCCTCGAAAGGAAGGAGACAGTTTTTTTAGATTCCGGCCGGTTTATTTGCATGGAAGGGGGAGGTGGGGGGGGCTTACAGAGGCAAGTCCGGACTCACTTGCACGCCTTTTCGGCCCAGCGCCGTTCGAAAAGGCGGCGGAGGAGTGGGGTGGCGGTGTATGAAGGGGGGGGCAGGAGGGGGAAGTGCCACGCAAGTCGATTTGCCAGAAGCTACAAACGAACGCGTTTAAAAGGGGGGATCGCCTCGAATGGAGAAGCGCCTCCCCGGGACACGCAGGGACGACCGTCCCAGGATTCCCCGTCGCACACGTCGGCAGGGTCGGGGCATCAGTACCCCATCTCTTGCCATGCGCTCCAGCACGCCTGGCACAGGCACACACAGGGTCCTCGTCGAAGCATCCCTGAGAGACATCAGGCAGACGTGGCCGAGCTTCAGAGAACAACTCCAGGCTGACTGGGAACCCGCCTCCCCTGAGATCCCTGCGTCGCAGTTCTTCTGCACTCTCCGTTTACGCTCGATGCCGATTGGGCCCTGGGACCATCACAGATCGATCCAGCTTGTAATATGCAACAGAAATATGAGGTGTAGTGCTCCAGTCGCATTTGTTGGTGCGACGTTGCATAGTTTCGCAACGTCGGATCTCAGGGTCGCCCTCCTTGGTGTCCACGGCATCGCGAGGGTGAGGCACCACCACCACGGTCTTGCCAGGTGCAGACCGAACGTTTTGTCAAAGCCTTATGATCGACCTCTAATCCCCCTCCTCTTTCTCTCCCTCTCTCCCGGCTCCCTCGCTGTGCGCGCGGGAGCGGGAGGAGGAGGAGGAGGAGGAGGAGGAGGAGGAGGAGGAGACGGAAGAGCAGGAGAAGAAGGAGGGAGGAAGGGAAGGAGGAGGAGGGAAGGACGAGAGGGGGGAAGGAAAGGAGGAGGAAGGACGAGGAGGGAGAAGGGAGGGCGAAAGGGAGGGGGGAGAATGAGAAGTAGAAGAAGGACGAGGAGGGAGGGAATGAGGAGGAGGAGGAGGAAGAGTGAGGGAGGAGGAGGAGGAGGAGGAGGAAGGAGGAGGAGGAGGAGGAGGAGGAGGAGGAGGAGGAGGGGGAGGAGACGGAGGAGTGAGGAAGGAGGACGAGGGGGAGGGCGAACGGAGAGGGAGGGACACGAGGGCGAGCGGGCACGGGAGGCGCATGCGCCTGCGGAGAAGGGAGCACAGGGAGGACGCGCAAATGGGCGCTCGGGTTCTGAGCTCCCACGTTCGCTGACCCTCCCGGGTGCTGCTGCCCTGCCCCCTATCACGCTTCCGGACCTTCCGCCCCAGCTTGCCGCTCTTTGTTTCGATCTGATCTTCGCGGGCTCTCCCTGAACTTCGGAGGCGGCAGAGAGGGGGGGTGGACACACCTCCTACCCTGACACGTCGATTAAGGAATTGGCCGTTTTCGGTCCGCGAGAGGGCGTCGCGGCCGTCATTTTTGCGGGTCCAGGTCCGGTCCCAAGCCGTTTTCACTAAGGGGAGGTCTACTAAAGGGAGGTTTGTCCACAGCCGGAAAGAGGGGGGTGTTGACTAGGGCGGGTGGATATCATGGTGGGGGCTATGAGATCCCCGTAGATTTCATGTCGCCTCCTCCTGTTTCCAAAAAACGTCCCTAGCCCCCCCCCCCCCCTGGGCCACGCACATGCCGCTGGCCATGGTTTGCGCCCCCCCTCTTGGACGCCCCCCTCTTGGCCGCTCCCGATGTTCGATACGATTTACGTGGGCGGTTCCTGAATTGCGTAAGAGGTGCCCATGAGTTTCGGCGAACTCCTCCGCACCTTCCGCGGAGGTCGGACGGCATGGAAGGTGGAGGTGGAGGGCGGCCCAGGCATGATCGCGCCGAGAAAAAACAAGCACGACGAGAGCTGCTTTGCCATTCTCGTGGGCTCCGGGACCGTTCAACAAGCACTATTTAGGACTAAAAGCCGACCTCGGGGAAAGGGTCGGGATTTCTGTCGGCGGCGAGCGAGTGAGAAGGAGGTGGTTTTCTCAGAAGGCGGCGGGGCTTCTCAGAAGCCCTCCTGCCTTCTGGGAAGTTTTCTGAGTCTTCGGGGAAGGCTCGAGCATCTTTTCAGAAGGGACGAGGCCTTCCGAGCCTTCTGAGAAGACCCGCCCCTCGAACTTCCCCCCTGGCTGGCCGCCGAGGATGCTTCTGAGAAGCGTCCAGAGGTCTGAGGATAATCCCTGGCCCTGGAGTCCCAGAGTTTTCTTCCGAAGACCTTCGGAGTGCCTATATGAGGCGTTCCAAAAAATCTTTGCCTTCGAGGATCTAAGGAGCTGTCATCTCTTTCTCGGTCTAAGGCGGCGGAAGGTCGGCGGGAGCACAAAACGGCCGCCTTCGCCAGCGGAAGCCGGCGGAAGGTGGCGGAAGTGAGGAAAGCGCCCCCAACATATGAACAACATGTTTGGACTCAGGCTTTGCGGAATCCGCCATATGAAGGGGCCGAGTACGTCTAGAAGCGGCCAGCCTCGAACCTGGAGGAAGGAGGAGTGAGGCAGGAGCGCGCCAGGGGCGGCGCTGGAGGCACTGAAAGGGAGCCCCAGCGCCGATCCGACGACGCTGCGCGGACCTCCGAGTTGTTGTGTTTATGCTGCTGTTTG